TGAGGAGCATTCACTATGGAGATTTAGTAGGCCTATATGGAAGAAAATCTAGTAGGCCTATATGTAAATAGGGATTTCGTATTAAATAAAGGTTTTCAAAGTAGCATCACATAGATACTGCATAGATTTAAATTTACTTTTCCACTATTCTACTCTAGCCTCTATCCCATGAGTTTTTGATTTATACTCTATAAATCTCAGGCCCGAACAATCAAAGATTAAAATTAAAAAGAAACATCTGAAAGGAATGTACTAGGAATGTGTTTGTCCAAAAAACACTAAAACACATATCAGTTAAAATCAATTAAAAATCAGTTAAAAATAACATTAATAAACAAAGCCAAATCTATTGTCCATATTCCTTATTCCATTTGCTTTCTAAGGGTGAATCTAGATTTTAAATCTGTAAAGTGCAGTTTTTATTCTATTTCATGTTTTAAAATGGAAAAAATACCCGCACACAAACGCATAGAGACACATAAACACGAGTCAGCTTGCTACTTTAATATTAAAGAAAATACATAGATTTAGAAGAATGGATGCACTGATTTACTGTTACGTGTTAATTCAGCCAAAAGGACATTATAATTTAATAATGTATTGTTTAAGAATCCCGATTTAGTGTTAAATGTGAACCTGGCAATCCAAGGTTGAATACATAGAAATGTTAGGACATAATAGCTCTGTTCTATTATATCCAAAGCAGTTAGAATTAAGTTCAGTTCCAAATATAGAATACCTAGTAGTGATAGAATTGTGCTTCTACAATGCAGAAATATTTAAATGTGAAAATTATATAACTTTTAGAATAGAATAGAGCTGGAAGGGACCTTGGAGGTCTTCTGGTCCAGCTCCGTGCTCAAGCAGGAGAACCTATACCATTTCAGATAAGTGACTGTCTAGTCTCTTCTTAAAAACCTCCAGTGATGGAGTCCCCACAATTTCTGACGGCAAGTTGTTCATTAGTTAATTGTCCTCACTTGCCACAGTAAGGTAGGTGAACATTGGGCTCTTAACTATTCAAGTGATGTATTATAATGTAAGTCAATTTAATTAAGGCATTATCTATTCCATTTAACATAGATGAGAGATTCAGCTTTCATACTAAACTTTCACCTATGGGACATTCTAGTCAACTTTATTCTTCCATTAAATGGCAAGATATAGTTCAGCCTAGTCACTTACCGAGGGACGTATTTCTAAACAGGTTACACATAACAGAGACCGCAGATTTCCAACCAATTAGACCTCACTAGCTCTCTCCAGGATCTCATTGTCTCCTGCAGAAATGAATGCCAAGTCATGGCTGCAGAAATCAATTTCAGCAAATGAACAGAAGTTAAAAGCAAATTAGTTCTTCTGTTTTACTCAGCACACTGACAATTTTGGTTTAATTCCTGAAAATAGAAAATATGCTGCATCTAGACAGGAGTCACTGGGAAGACATATGCCTAACCTCACACTACATTTTACTCTGACAGATTGATTTTCTAGGCACACAGAACTCAACAAAAACTGTGGTTAAGTTGGCATATTAAAAAACAAATGCATATTCCTGCCCCCCCCCCATCTAAAAAGATTGCCACAGTCTTGCTATGATTAGCAACTATAAAACTTGCTTATTATATTTCTTACAGGCCATGATTAATATGAAATCAATATTACATTGGAACCCAAACAGTTCAGGCTCTATATTCAATGCAATTCGACATCCCAAGGCAATCCTCAGTATGTTGCTTCTTGACCTAGTCCCCAGCACTTCTTTCTAACCCTAAATGTAAACAATATCTATTTATTTATCATGCAAGTACCCCTAATGCAGTGGTGAAATCCAAATTGTTTTACTACGGATTCTGTGGGCGTTGCTTGGTGGGGGTGCCAGGGGAAGGATACTGCAAAATCTCCATTCCCACTCCACTCTGGGGCCAGCCAGAGGTGGTATTTGCCGGTTCTCTGAACTACTCAAAATTTATGCTACCGGTTCTCTGAACTGCTCAAAATTTCCACTACCAGTTCTACAGAACCTGTTAGAACCTGCTGGATTTCACCCCTGTCCTAACAAGCCACCATTTTAACTTACCCTCATTCTCAGCCTTCCTTACCAAATTTGTCATAACATTCTCCCTATAAATTAAATTCAAATCCCTTACCATTTAGTCAAATTTCAGACTGAGGTTCTCAACTATTATAAGCTGTTATGCATCTCATATCTTTCCAAGTGCAGGACATGATTCTCACAACAATAGACACAGACCAGGCTCTTTAATAATAATGGCAGAATATCCTAGCTAGAGATCAGAGTTTGCCATTTTCCTAGAAGTCTAAAAATTCAAAGGTGCTTTAACAGATCACTCAGCTTCTCCACAAGAAATGGGTAGATGTTATTATCAATTACATATAACTGCCTACATGGCTTTTGTTTCCTACTAAGAAAACACCTATGCATTATTCTATTTTTTAAAATTTAAAATTTATTTGCCAAACACGTATAAGATAACAGATATAAGTATAAACATGATTATGAATACAGGATAAGAAAACGAATAAATGGGAACAGTAGGACAAGAATGGTAGGACAGGCACACATTGGTGTGCTTATGCACGTCCCTTACGGACCTCTTCACTAGTGTTATCCATGGTTCTGGATGAAGTGACTGGACTACAATTTGACATACTTATTTTGATTGCCTTCTGTTTATATGACTCAACCTTCTTCATCCACATTTGACATTCTTCCTTTCTAAATGTGGTTCTTCCCAAGAATTTTTTAAGCAATCCAAGCAGCCATGGTTTTTGGTTTTTTGTTTTTTGCCTTAAAAGGGGGGAAGCAGAAGCAAGCTGCAATTTTAACAGAAGCAGCAGCAGGGGTGTAAGCCCAAAGGTCCAGATGGAAGGAAGCAAGTTAAAATCTGACAAGTATAAAAGGAAGCTTCTCAAAATTATCTGAAAATTGCCTGCTGGTGGCATGCTGTCCTTTGGCCATTTCTGCAATCTACATACTAAAATGTCATATTGTACAGTTACAATTCATTCGTATTAATAAAATGTGTTTGTGTCACGGACAGTCTTCCATCAGAAGCAACCATCATCTTATATATATATATACATATAATAAAGGTGATCACTTTTTACATGCCGGTTTTGTCAATAAACAACAATGAGCTTCACATTTTCTTCCCCTCTTCTGCATCTCAAGTTTTAAACAAACTAGAATTCTGCTCAGGCAAAAATGTCTGGTGTGACTGAGAGGAAAGGAGAAGGTAAGCATATACCTGGGTTTTTTTACACAGTGAAAAGCAATGTTTCCCATTATGTCTGGGCAAGGTCTATAGCCCTATATAAACTATAAGTCCGTGATGGCGAACCTATGGCACGCGTGCCACAGGTGGTACTTGGAGCCATATCTGTGGGCACGTGAGCATTGCCCTAGCTCAGCTCCAGCACACATGCACGCACTGGACTTTTGGTCCTTCCAGGCCCGCCAGAAGTCAGGAAATGGGCTGTTTCTGGCCTCCGGAGGGTCTCCGGGGGCAGGAAGGCCGTTTTTGCCCTCTCCAGGCTCCAAGAAAGCCTTTGGAGCCTGAGAAGAGTGAAAAACAGGCCTTCCGGTTCCACTGGAAGTCAGGAAATGGGCCGTTTCCAGCCTCCAGAGGGCTTAAAGCTTCTGGAGCCTAGGGAGGGCGAAAAACAGGACTACTGGGCCCAGCGGTAACCTTTTTGCCATTGCGTGCCAAAAGCGTAGGGAATGAGGGGGGGAGGGGGTCACGAGCACATGCGTGGGGGGTGGGGCACAGGGGGCATTGAATTATGGCTGTGGGCACGTGCGCGTGCGATCCCCTCACATTCTCCCCGCTTTTGGCACACAACGGCAAAAAGATTAGCCATCACTGCTCTAAGTCAACCATATGTATAAACCACATCTACTTATATAATAATAATTCTTATTAATACCAGTTTCCCATCTAGCTATCCTTGAGATTTGCTATGATATCAACTCACAGAATTCTTAGGAATTCCACTCTGAACACATCTGAATGTCGAACATATCTGGAATGGTTGATTTAATGCAAAAAGCAAACATATCCAACATACCTTCCTCTTCCTATTATTCCCACAGCAACAACCTTGTGAGATGGGCTGAGAGAGTGTGACTAGCCCAAGATCACCTGGCTGGCTTTCATGCCTAAAGGAGGACTAGAATTTATGGTCTCCCATTTTCTTGACTGGTGTCTTAAAATTACAATCTTGAGTTCTATCGTATCAAGTTTCACTAATACTAACCGAATCATATTTGCTTGTTGCTTTTGTACTAGGGCTTTAAAATCTCTCTGCTTGTTCTCCATCCTCTAACCACTGGTGTACAGGCAACTGAACCTTTTAGCATAGTTCTTAGGTTTGCCTACTGTATCTGCTGGTAAGCACCCTTCCTTCAAAAAACTTTCTTGCTGTTGTAAGGTTTACTGCCTTCAACCATACTTCTAGTTCAGAGGTACAAAATACCTTGGAAACCAACCAGGTTTCATTCATTGTTGCCTCTACTTTTAACGTACCTTTTAGTAGTTCAAGCAACAGCTTCTTATCACATTTACAGTGGACATTTCCTCTGCACTTTTAGTTAACTGTAGTTCAACGTGTTGCAAACATTCATGATAGTTATTTTAAAGACGCCAACTCCAGAAAATAGGTTTTGAAATAATAACAATTACTCTAATGTTAATCATAGTTTAACTTTTCAGCCAACAGTCTTCAAAGAAAAAAAAAAATCAAAAGATTTATAATGCCTAAAAATATAGGAGTAGAAATAGCACTGCCACACCCAACCCATTTAATCATACTTGATAAATCTTAACGGATGAACACAGCCAAAGAAAATCTTCAACCCATGTAACTATCTTAACAGACTTCCAAGTAGTGTCTTTTATCCACTTATTTTGTCTGTATGCTTTGATGATACTGTTCTATTTCCTATACTGAACATTAGCAATTGAGAGTTTACTCACCTCACTGTTGTGGCCTCTTAAATTGAAGTTGATTCGCTGGGGTGTGTTTCTGTCCTTTCTACAGTGGCTGGAAGTGAAGGTAACGCCCACTACTCCCCTGCCATTTCCTGTGGCCAACCAGCCTTCCTCGTAATATCGTCTCCGGCATACAGGTTTCTCCTTTTCACTTTTTGGAACCCTGCCTTTCCATGAGAGGCAGAGGATGTTGGAATCGCTGAAGAGAACAGGTCCATGTTCCACTGCTGCGTACATGCTTCGTTGTATTTTTTCCCTTTTGACATAAGAAAAGTACTATGTCTAGTGCAGCAAATATAAATAAATCTCTTTGCGGTTGTAGTTTCTATCGATAGGACCAAAAGTTTTAAGACAGATCAGAATCGAGGGGGGCTGAAGCAGAAGAGAAGATCAGTTTTTATAAATATCCACCAAATGCATAGTGAAAAATTTCCTTATAAAAGATGATGACGGTTGGCTAAGAAAATGTAACACTTAAAAAAATGAAAATCAGTCAGATTCATGTTGATTTGGAGTCAGTGGAGTGAGGGGTACACTTGTCCTTTGGAGAAACAGCTACTGCAGAAGAGGCGCTCCGGGAAATGGTGAGCCGTCTTTTTGCTCAATTGGATAGAACCACCATGCGGCCTGAGATTTCCAGTATAGCATTACGCAATTCCAGAGACAAAAGTTTGCAGAAGTGAAGGTTTTCAAGTAACTTAAGGCTTTAAAAAGATTTCCTCCAGTCGGACTTGTAAACCCGGAGCGTATTCATTTATCTTTCCCCAAATCCACCCTCTGGCATGTTATTCCCACCAGACCAAAATATCTGCTGCTAAAGCTGAGAACGATTGCATAAAGGGGAGAAAAAAGGCACACAGACTGTGCAAGACCACAAGCCAGAATTCGGTGCAGTTAGCAACGTGCCAGGCCAGATGGAAAAAAAGCCCTTTCTAAACTCAGCTGCTCACTGTTCCACCCAGACCATTTGCAATCCGAAGGAAGTCCCATTTCTTCGGCAGCCGGTGGCATTCTTGCCGATTCCACAGATGACCCAATTTATTACGCTGCCTTGCCTGCTTCCCCACAAATTGTTGCCGCGCACAGGCGTAAAAGCAAAAGTGTCTTTTCATTTAGCAGGTGGTTTTCTTTTAAAACTTTTTAAAACCTTTCTAAAGGTTTTAAAGCAAGAACATTTGCCTGGGTGACTTATGAAGCCTTCTCTAAAACAGCGAGCTGTTGACTTTCCCCTTTTGCTGGAAAGTCTGTATCCTCAATGCTAAAAGATGAATCAGAATTAAAAGCAGGTTGAGTATTTTATTTACTGAACAAGTGTGTTGAAAAAAAAAAAAAGAAAGAAAGAAAGGCAAAATGGCCGATTCGGAATAAATGTCGGGCTAATTTTTTAAAAAAACAAATTTTATTTTGTTGTGCTGTTGCCCACTTTGCTTCCTTGGTTCTTCAACTCCTTCCTTACTGGCTTCTTTAGAGCTCAAATGCATAATTCTAACCAATACATTTGCGGCAGTGGAGTGTATTTTTAAAGTGTTCCAAAAGCTTTGAGTACTATTGATGATCAAATATTTATTTGTATTTGTACCATGTTAACAAGGAATAGAGAAGGAAAAATAGCAAGCTCCATTGTCAAATTTAATACAAGCGTGAACACCGAAGGTCAACCTCGAGAGCGTTCTCATTACCCCTTAGCTTGTTCTTTAATCATTACTGTAAAATTATTTGTCACTCCTTAATTGGCAAACAATTAAGTCACAGTGACTCCAATTCTAATACAGCAAAAGATGTGATAATTTCACATAATTCCTCCTTTGGGAATAATGACAATATCACTCTATTTCCTGCTCAAATTTTATCACTTTCTTACATGTTCTGGTGCCATTTACTCTGTTCAGAGACTGTTTAGCTCTGTTTGCTTTTTGCAGTTTTTTTTCTTCACTCGTTGCAGATCATTTGGGAGGCTGAGCACTAGCAGCAGATGGTACTTCATGGATTTTTGGTCCTCATAGCTGTCAGATTGCTATGCTGGTGCTTGCAATAACTTTCATAAATTGCAAAAATATTGAAGTTTGCAACAATCGATTTGAATGGCTGCAGCAATATGTTTGTGGGTGTGTATAAGGACCCACAGACACATATGTTATTATAATCACACCTTTAGTTTTGGCAATTGGACTATATCTGGCTTCACCATTTAACTATGGTAGTTGTCATGTCTCACTCAGTCAGGATTTTCTGGATGCTTCCAATTCTGTAAAATAAAAAAATAAAATAAAAATTACATGCCTGTCAAAATATCAGGGGAGAATGTCAATCTAGTAAGTCCTTGTTTAGTCATATTCAAAGGTATGGTCTAAATTTATGATTTTTGTGAATCTAAATAAAAGTATTTGGATTTATATTGATTTCAAAAAATGGCAAACACATCAACAAAAAAAGAGCATAAATTTGGTTTTTTTGACAAGGAAAGATGGATGGAGTATGAGTGAAATATAACCAGTTTTAAGACAATTTTTAGGCAAAAGACAAAAAACATTTGAGAAAGGTCAAAAGTCTATGTTTTTGCCTTTTCTCCCAACCCTTCCAAAATACATTTTGAGGAATTGCTAACACAAAATTGATCGTTAGCTCCCCAAATATTAAAAGCATTTCCATATTATTTGAATTTAAACAAAATATTGGAAAATCGAGTAAGCTATTCTTTAGATACAATATTAGTATTTTCCACTATTCAGTTTTTATTACAACAAATACATTTGCTGAAATGTGCTTGGTATTAGAGGATAATAATATCCTTTTGTATTTAATTCTAAATGCATCAAAAGAAAATAAGATTGGTTAATAAACATGGAATGAGGAAAGAAAATAGGGAAAGAAGAAAGGAAAGGAAGGTTTATTTTCAAAAGTGAAAAAAAACATTTTATCAATTTTTGTGCTGATCCAAGAAAATGCAAATATATATATACATACACACACACACACACACACACCAGTAACCTCTGGAATATTCCATGTAAATCCAAAATTCTATAAATAGAGAATTTGTACTTTCTAGCAGCAACTGTTGCATAAGGTACAAAATCTTCCTTGATTGCTTTGAAACAAGAACTTCTATGCTGTTCCAAAACTACGTACTCTTCCCAAAATGCAGTACAAATAATTATACTGTAGAATAGAATAGAATTTTTTATTGGCCAAGTGCGATTGGACACACAAGGAATTTGTCTTGGTGCATATGCTCTCAGTGTACATAGCACGGTGAAGTTAAAGAATTTCTTTTCTACTTGAGGGCAAACTCTCATCTAGATGCTTAGAAGCTTCCTACCTAATTAAGACACCTCAAAGCAAGCACAGATATATAAAAGGGCAAAAATATTAGGCAATGGGCTGTTGGTTTTGTCAGACATCGCTGGTATGATATGGGTCCTATGTGTGAACTGGATATGCTGTGCGAAACCAGGCACAACTGGAAGAGGATCCTGCAGATGAAGACCTGCAGAAGCAAGCAGGATCTGAAAGAGAGGTCCACAGAACAGATAGGAAAGACAGCACAATTCAGAAAAGGCAGACCAGATGTATTAGCAATAGCATTTAGACTTCTATACCGCTTCACAGTGCACTACAGCCCTCTCTAAGCGGTTTACAGAGTCAGCATATTGCCTCCAACAATCTGAGTTAGTCAGAACAGCTTGACAGAGTGCTACAATTACAAGAAGTCTGTGGCATTCATGTTTTTCCCTGTTTCTTTTCTTCTCCCTATGCTAAAGGCAAGCCCACAATACAAAAGTACTGAAGCTGTATCAAAGTTGTGATAAGGAACACTACTGTGAATCAGGAAAGTGGGGAGCAAGACAGTTAAGAAACTGTAAAAAGCTTGATATAGAGATTGTCTGTATAGTTCGTTAAGCTAAAGCCACTGTATATATTAGAAATAAACACAAATTGTTTACCTAAAAGTACTCTACCAAATAAACATCACTATAATTTAGAGAACAGTGTACAAGTCTGGAAAACCCCTGTCCCTTATCCCAACACATTCATGTATACCTAGCAGGTTAACTGTGCAAGAAACTGTGAGAGATAGTTCCAATAAAGTGAGAAAGAAACAGCCTGAGGTAAGACTGATCCTCTGCAACAATCACATATGTTCAGTGCTCTCACCGCCCAAAGTGTTGGTCCTTGCACCTACTATAAATATGGTTTTCATTTTACAGCAATAACACTTTCATGGGGAAAGAACAAAATTCAAACTTCTAGATTCAAACCAGTCCTAGTTTTTTGAAGCATCACGAAGAGCTGGCTGCTAATTCCTTGCTCCTGTACCAAAACCAAGTGGCACAGCACCAGAACCAATCAACGAGGTGGAGAACCACCTAGATCACTGATGGGTTACAGCCAGCTCTGACTGTCACACCAATTTCATCTGGAATTGTAACAACAGCGCTGGCAAAAGCAACTTCAATCACCACTTTCTGACCCCTTCCATTCTTTGCCTGACAAGTATGGTTTAAGTCCAGAAAGGCTTATGATCTTCGTAATTCAACACAAATTATAACTTCTGACAACTCCCAGCCCAGAAAATAGAGACCAGAACACTTCATCATTGGATTTTCCAGACAGAGGCAGATCCTAAAAGTTTCAGAAGAAATTCATGTGCCCTGCCTTCTACAATAATTCCATTTGTCGTACCCCCACTTTTGCTTCCTTAATAAGTTTTAGCTGGATCCAGAAATATAGTGTTTATCCTTAGATCTGAAATAGGAGTGTGTATCTCATTGTTCAGCCAACTCTTATTTGCCTTAACTCTTTCTGTCACCAGCTGTTATACAGCGGCTCCCAAATTCTTATTTACTGATATTTTATATTTCCCCAGGCAGTTTGCAGGATTGCCAAGTTTATATGCTGCCAAGCTTGCACATCAATAAGTCTGACTCTGTTAAAATAACAATGCTACTTGGAGTTGCACTTTTGAAACACTATAATCAGGTATGCCTTGGTACTGCTTTTGGAAGGATGCCCGCTTCCTTACTAAGAATTTTAGTATACCTCTTTTGGTATTGCATTATAAATGTAAAGCATGATATGCTGTAGATTCATAAAATAATTATTCTAGTACATAAAGTAACAGTAAAGTTACCTAAAATTTTGAAGGCAGCTAATAACATAAAATGGCACATGGTAATGTAACTACTATAAATACAGACATTCTAAGTGGGTTTACAAAGATTTAAGACTTCTTAAAGTCTTAAGGAAGTTGCAGTATAAGGCTTTCTAGGTGACTTGTACTGCAACTCCCTTAAATTTTAGCCATGCGGCCCTTGGCTGAATTATACTAGTATTTCCCACTACTAGTATATTCTCTCCAAAAACTAAGGAAAAAATCCACATAGTGAGGCTCCAGTGAGATCCAGGAGAAAATGTATGTGATGTTAATGTTAACTACTTTCATGTATTGTGTCCTATTCCATGCTCAGTTACACACAGATGCAAACTAGAAATTACCTTCGAGTTAAACTAGAGTTAAACGTTCACAACAATAATATGCAGGTGCCTTATTATTAATTTCTCAAATGGCAATTCTTTCTTAAGAACATCTGGCCATTTATTCAAGACATTATTGAGTGTTTGCACTTGAGATCTCATTTGTTAATTTGTTATAAATAAAACACCCAGAAATTATTGAGAGCTGAGCCGCAAACAAGTTTAATAAATTGTTATTATAAATTTGCATTCTTAAAGTTCAAGAATACAAATGCCACTACCCTTAAGCAGTATACAATATTGGATGAATATATAGTAGCATTCTAAGTTGCAATTCTAGAGCCACACATTCTATGGGATTTACCTCCCACTCTATGGGATTTACCTCAGAATAGATATGTATAAAATTATGTCGCTAGAAAATAAATGCTGGTTTAATTTAAGAGACTATTTTCCACATTACAGAAGTAGCAGAAGAGGTTACTGCTTATCCTCAATTGAATTTAAGAAAAGAAAAAGAAAAACAGCCAAAGGCAGACTCATAAGAAGCTGAATAAAAAATCCAGTGTTTTTCCATTTTGGAAATAATGGATTTGCTACGATTTCTCCTTTCTCTTCCATCTTCACTCAGTCTTCTCAGCACCCGAGGTTTAGGTAGATGCTGGGGCTCAGCACCCCCAACAGCCCCCCTTCGGGATGCCATTATGCTTTAAGGGAGATTCGGGTTAATGTCAGCATTCCAGAACACCCCCACTCCGAGTAAAGACGCGGAAGCAAGCATTTTCCAAAGTTCTCTTTACTACAGTAGGTAAACTGGCACATCTGGGAAAACCTGAATCTGAAAGGTCCAGATTTTCCCTCAGTAAATTAAAAACCCCCAAACCATCCCCTCACTCCTCAGTCAATCACATGCTCCAATCAACGTCCGTCCCATCTCGACTCAGCACTCCGACCACTCCTTCTCCAGATGCCGGATCGCCCTGACCTTGACTGACAGGAAGAATGCTATTATGTCTACCAACAACCCCACTACTAAATCCCCCCTCCTACTTTCCCATACAGGAGAAGGTGGCAGCATGGAAGCTTCCGGGCTAATATGGTTTTCAAAGCTGACAGGATTACATTACAAATCTGAATTTGAGTTTTAATGCTGGTTTTAATATGGTAGTCTGATTGTATGTTTTATTTATATTTTTATTGTTCTGTGAACTGCCCAGAATCATATACATGGGTAGCTGTACAAATTGAATCAATGAAGAGATAGCGATAGACAGACAGAGAAAAGAAAGACAGAGAGATAAAAAAGTCCATAAGTGTTCAGAGTGATTAAAACACTGTGAGGAATCATCTGTAGTTTTTTGGTTTACTGATATCATTATATTTATTACATCCAACATACATGTTCTTTCACACACTCTTTGCATTTAAATCCAAGGAAAATGATTAGTTCCGAACTAATATCATATGATGAGCAGTAGGTTCTCCTAATCAGTTAGAAAGCAGGTCCAGAAATCAGGATTTAATTTTTCTACACTTCACTTAAGTACTCCACTCTTGGTGTGGAAGCCAGCGTTGCAGCAGTGGCCTGGAAAATTTATTACACCAACTGCATTCATTCCTAGAGGTTCAGAACAATCTATAATGGTACATGTTCCATTGGTATGCCATACATGCCCTATACCAGGGTGTCAAACTCGTGTTGTCACGGCAGCATCATGTGACGTATCAGGACCTTTTCCCCTTTGCTAAATCGGGAGGGGGTGGGGCCAG